CCACCCCCACCCCCACCCCCGCCGCTGCTGCTGCTGCTGCTGCTGCTGCTGCTGCTGCTGCTGCTGCAGGGAAGACTGCGAGGTGGTGCAGCTGCCGCTGGACGCAGTGGCCTACGTGACGGGCTCCAAAGGCAGCAACTTGCGCCGCGTCGAAGAAGAAACTGGAACTTTTATTTTTCTCGACGGCGCTCGCGGCGGCGGCGAAGAAAGACTTTTGATTTTCTGCTTCGACTCCGACGCGCGCCGCCGGGCCCGCATGCGCATAGAAGATCGTATAGACGAGAAGCTCTCCGGCAGGGCCAGGTAGCCCTAAACCCTAAACCCTAAACCCTAATTTAGGGTTTGGGGTGGGGGGGGTGCGCGCGAGTTGGGGGGGCTGGCTTCGCGAAACGCGAATTCGCGGCTTTGGGCGCTTCCCAACTTGCACGCAAAACCCCAAACCCTCGCGAGAAACCCTAATTAGGCGCAGCGAGAATCCCGTGCAAGTGCTGCTGCTGCTGCTGCTGCTGCTGCTGCTGCTGCTGCTGCTGCTGCTGCTGCTGCAGGCCGTTGTACCACGGGGGCAGGTACCGGTCTCCGTCTCCGCGGCGCGGGGACTACGGGGGCTACGGGCGGTACGAAGAGCGCGGGGGCTACGGCAGCAGCAGCTACGGAGGCAGCAGCAGCAGCAGCAGCTACTACGGGGGCTACCCCAGCAGCAGCTACCGCAGCAGCAGAGGCAGCGGCTACCGCAGCAGATCTCCCAGCAGAAGCAGGGGCGGCTACTACAGGTCTCGCAGCAGATCTCAAGACTACTGGAGGGGGAGGTCCCGCAGTCCTTTCCGCAGAGAAAGGTCTTACAACAGGTGCGGCTCCCCCAAGTGACCCTCCCGCTGCAGCGCATGCAAACGCGTGCATGCAAACGCATGCATGCAAACGCATGCATGCAAACGCATGCAAACGCATGCAGACGGACGCGCGCGTTCTTTTGATGCATTTGCATGCCTTTGGGGCCTCTTGGGTGCATTTGCATGCATTTGCATGCATTTGCTGCACTTGCATGCATTTGCTGCACTTGCATGCATTTGCTGCACTTGCATGCATTTGCATGCATTTGCTGCACTTGCACGCACTTGCTGCATTTGCATGCATTTGCATTTGCATGCGGAAGGGAGAGGCGGGGATCGGGATCGGTTGGAGGGAGCAGAGCGTGGGCGAGGTTTTGCTGCGGCCTTTGTTATGTGCTGCTGCTGCTGCTGCTGCTGCTGCTGCTGCTGCTTGTGGGGCGAGAGTGTGGGGTGTTGAGTGTACGTACACCTGGTTGCCGAGGCGTCGGTCTTGCCTAGCTGCGGAGCCGCAGCGGCGCTGCCGCCGGCGGCCGCCGCTGCCGGCGGTTTGCTGCTGCTTCTGCTGCTGCTGCTGCTGCTGCTGCTGCTGCTGCTGCTGCTGCTGTTCTTGCCTCCGAGCTGCCAAGTGGCCGTCTCCACAGACACTGCACATTGGCCAGTCAGTCCCCCACAGCCACATCCACACCCACAACCGCAGCAGCAGCAGCTAGGAAACTCCCACCGGTCGCGAGCGAGGCGCCCCGTTTCCGCGAGTGCATGCACTACAGCTAGCGCTTCTTCTGGGGCTGTGGCGGTCCTGCTGCTGCTGCTGCTGCTGCTGCTGGTGGTGTCCGCGAGTTGCTGAAGTGTCTGTACACCGGAGACCCCACACCCGGAACCCCACTTTCGGCTGTACGTACAGCCGGTGGCTGTGCAGGTAGAGTGGGGGGCGGGCCCCGCAGCTGGGGTGTACGTACACTTGAAAGCTGCTGCGCATGCAGAGGCGCATGCAGCGGCTGTCTGTGGAGCTGGCGCGCGGTGTATGTACACTTGGTTTGTGCGTAGAGGTGGATGAGCTGCACCCGCGAGTCGCGGTGTACGTACAGCTGCTGCTGGCCGCCCGGGCGTTGTGTTGCTGCTGCTCTCCGGTGTACGTACACCTCGCTGCCCCGCCCGTGTGGGGTCCGCGGCCCGCTGCTGCGCGCAGCCGCGGCGGCCCCACACGCGGCGCAGCCCGGGTGTACGTGCATGCAGCTGGGGTGTACGTACACCCGGGCTGCAGCGGCCAGCTCGCGGGAGAGAAGGGGTTTTTCATTTCCACTTTTGTCTCTTTGTTTGCTGCTGCTGGCCGCCTCTGCCCTCCTCCCCGAAGCACCCGGAGTTGTCTCCTTGCCTGTCTCCTTCTTGCTGCTGCGCCCGGGCTGTGTGCGCCGGCCTGCTGCTGCTGCTGCTGCTGCTGCTGCTGCGAGAGAAAGAGACTGACACCTCCTTCCTGCCCGTGGCCGCGGCCGCCGGACCCGCACACCCTCCTGGCCCCCAGGGGCCCCCGGGGGCCCCCGGGGGGCCCCCGGAGGGCCCCCGGGGGGCCCCGGGGGGCCCCGGGGGGCCCCTGGGGGCCCCTACATGCACGATCCACTTCTTGGCTGAGGCCGTTTTGGGGGTTCTGGGGAGGAGACAAGAGACAGGGGGGGTAGAGAGATGGTCTCCGTCCCCGTTTGCTGCTGCTGCTGCTGCTGCTGCTGCTGCTGCTGCTGCTGGTGTTGCTGCCGGTGGCGGTGGGGATGCTGCTGCGGAGGCACCGCGGGGGACGGGCCCGCGAGCGCTGGGCGCTGCAGCAGCTGGCAGCAGCTGCTGCTGCTGCTGGCGTCTTGCTGCTGCTGGCGTCTTGCTGCTGCTGCTGCTGCTGCTGCTGCTGCAGCTGCTGCTGTCGTGTGTCTCCTTTTTATTTGCAGGGGCATGAGAGACTATGACGACCGGCGGCGGTACGACGACGATCGCTACCACTGAGTGCAGCCAGCCCAGCTGCTGCTGCTGCTGCTGCTGCTGCAGCAGCAGCAGCAGCAGCAGCAGCAGCAGCGGCGGCCCCACACCCCCAGGGTGTCTTTTTTCCCCGCTGCGCGCAGCCAACAAGTAAGAAGCAGCAGAGGCCCTGCGAAAGGGGCCCCCAAAGAGACCCTGCATGCGGGGGGAGCCCGGGGGGCCCCCAGGGGGCCCCAGGGCCCCCACGGGGGCCCCTGGGGCCGCACAGAAACCCGGGGGGCCCCCCAGAGTAGAAAAAGGGTACTAGGGGCAAAGAAGGAGCTAGGGGGCCCCCTGAGGCCCCAGGCGCCCCAGTGAAGGCAGAAGGGGCCCCCAAGGGTAGTAGGAAAGGGTACTGGGGGCCCCTGGAGGAGCTAGGGGCCCCCCGAAAAGCTGGGGGCCCCCCCGAAGAGCTGGGGGGCCCCCAAAAGACCAGGGGGGCCCCCTGGGGGGTACTTTGCTTCTGCTTTTACAAACATAGGGAGCAGCTCAGTGCGGCTGCCCAAGTCCGTCAACTCGCAAACTATTGCTGTCACTCTAGCTGCCTATTTTGGCTTTGCATGCATGCATGCAGCTATCTATTAGCCTTAGCTATGCAGCAGCAGCAGCAGCAAAAGCAGCAGCAGCAGCAGCAAAAGCAGCAGCAGCTAGCGCAGCAGCAGCAGAAGCAGCTGAAAAGCACTGAATTGAACAGGGCAGCAGTTCGGGTGTACGTACACACCACTGCGCAGAGTCTCTTTCCGCGCACGGAAGACAGCAGCAGCAGCAGCAGCAGCAGCTGCTGCTGCTGCTGCTGCGGCTTGTGTCTCCCCCCCTGCTGCGTCCCTGTGGCTGCGGCTGCGCAGTCCTGGGACAGCGGGGGGGACGTCCGTGCGGTCTCGGGTGTACATACACCCCAGCGCGGCCTCCAGCTCTGTGGGGTCTGCAGTTCGGGTGTACGTACACCCGCTGCTGCATCGCCCTCTGCTGCTCTGCCCCTCTGTGGGGTCTCCGGTGTCTCTCTCCCAGCGCCCACTCCCAGCTGTCTGTACACCCCACCCCACCCCCCCAGCTGTCTGTAAACGCATTTGGGGTGTCTGTACACCCGCCTCAAGTGTCTGTAAACGCGTTTGAAGTGTCTGTACACCCGCCTCAAGTGTCTGTACACCCCACTGCGGTGTCTGTACACCCGCCTGGGGTGTCTGTACACCCGCCTGGGGTGTCTGTCCACTTCCCTGGGGTGTCTGTCCACTTCCCTGGGGTGTCTGTACACCCCGCTGGGGTGTCTGTACAGCTGGAGTCTGTTCAGTGCGGGAGCAGCCCGGCTGCCTGTTTCCAGAGGGCGAGCATGGTCTCGCTGAGCGTGGGGTGAGTGTGGGGTGTTTGGGCCAATTTCCCCACAGAGGCCCCCGCGGCCAGCGCGTTGGCGCACTGCTGCAGCAGCTCCGCCGCGTGGGGCCCCACAGCCTGGCAGCCCAGCAGCAGTCCGGTGTCTGTACGCCACACGGCCTTCGCCAGCCCCTCCGCCTCCGCCTCCGCCAGCGCCTTCGAATTGCTGCGAAAGGCGCTGCTGCAGCAGCCCACTTCGAAGCCCCACTGCGCCCCCAGCTCCCGCGCCTCCGCCTCCGTGTAGCCTGCATGCAAACGCATGCATGCAAATGCATGCAGGTGCATGCATGCAAACGCATGCATGCAGGTGCATGCAGGGGCATGCAGGGGGGGGGCGGTATAGGCAATATGGGCACACGGGCATGCAAGTGCATGCATTTGCATGCAAGGTTGCCTGCAAGCTTGCATGCATGCAAGTTTGCATGCATGCACTTGCATGCATGCATGCATGCATGCATGCATGCATGCACTTGCATGCATGCAAGCTCACCGACGAAGGCAATCTCTGGACTAGTGAAGCACGCCGCGGGAACTTCTTTGGGATTAAAAGGCACAAAGCGGCCGGCAATGGCCTCCACAGCAGTCACAGCTTGAGCTGAAGCTGCATGCGCCAACTGCAGCAAACCATTGGCGTCTCCAATGCAGTAGAGGCCCTCCACCACGTTTTCGGGCGCTGGCAGGGGCCCCGGGGGCCCCCGGGGGGCCCCCGGGACCTCCGTGCGCACCACACGCATGCAGGCGTCCACTGGGACAAAGCCACCTCGCTTTAGGGTCACTCCCAACTCCTCAAGACCCAGGCCCTGCGCATGCAACAGCAAACACACTTCCTGCTGCTGCTGCTGCTGCTGCTGCTGCTGCTGCTGCTGCTGCTGCTGCTGCTGCTGCTAGTGGTGCT